CCCTATCATGTACTCTCTCTCTCTCATTCTCACTCTCTCAAAATAAATAAATAAATCTTTTAAAAAAAAAGAGGCAGCAGTATTTAAACTTTTTTGTTGATTAATACTGTTATGATTTAGAAGGAAGTATGCATACTATAATATGATTGACATAGATTATGGTTCATACCAGGGAAGATATGAGAGGGGAAGTGATCAGAAGGAAGTAGTAAAGTTGGAAATAATTAGGGTGACTATTTGTTTTAGTTGGTCCAGGACAGTCATGGTTTTATATTTGTTGTCTCTGTGTAATTGTTATTAATGTGTACTTTTCCTTTCAAAAGTATTCTGGTTTTAATAATACACCATGTGGCCATCTTAGAAATGATGGAAGCATGGTACATGTTATCAGTGCATTTTAAAGTGAACTACTAATAATAGTTAACCCTTTTATGTGCCAAACACTGTGCTAAGCAGTTTATGAGCATTGTCCTATGATGTCCTCCCAATAATCTATGAGGCAGTTAATATTGTAGTCCCCATTGTAGAGATGAGGAAGCTCAAGTTTATGTTTATAGATGTTGAGGAACTTGCCCAAGGTCACTCAGTAGCCAAATTTCTAATTCAAGCTGTCTTGTTTCAGAGGTCATATAAATAAACACCATGCATTATTTATTTTCTCTTCACTTTAAAAAAATTCATAAGACATCTGAAAAGAAATTCAATCCTGTTAGGCTACAAAATGTATAGGATGGAGAAAAAGATTATCAAGTATACACAAGGGCAAAAAACTTGAAAGCTTTTCATAAAGCTTTTCACAAGAGGCAGACTTACCTCTGTTTCAAAAAAATATTATTGAAAATATGTCAGAAAGGCATGCTACAGGAGGGATGATTCCATTCCCAAAGTATTATAAAATCCCTAATTTTGGTTCCGGCATGTATTGCCTCTTTTGAACCCAAGTGTCCCTTTCCCACACACTTGCTACCCTAACCTCCTGCCCTCTCCCTATGAAGGGGCTAAGAGGGAAGTGAAAATAGGGAAGTCAATCCTTATTAAAAATACATGTTATAATACATTTTGATCTAGTTGATCTAATGCTTCCAGACTTTTAAAAAATCTGACTCTATTCTAGATTATTTTTCCCCTAATACTACCATGATAAAGACTTTGGTTTTAGGTAACCAATTCTTCACTAGGTGTTGAGAAAGGAAGAAAAGAAGAATGATCATCCTGAACTTACCTTACTTTCTTTTCACAGTGCTTCTGCATAGCTGCCTAGCTGGTACAGGGAAATGACAGCGGGACCCTTTTTAAAACAGTTAGACAGGCTCTTTGCTGAGACTTTTTTCCCCCCTGATGGATGCTATGTGCATTCCCTGGAATGCTTAAGACCTTAAGACTTTCCTTCAGATATGTGGCTTATCTCTAGCAGACAGTAATTCCTCTCCTGAGCCCAGCCATTGGGAAGGGGAATCCCAAAGAAAGAATTCCCTGCCTTTCACAGAGAATTATTTAGAGAATCACAATGGGGAAGACGAAGCTAGAGTATCAACATTTAGCTTTCTCTCTAAGGTGGTCTTGGAGTTCAGTTAATCATTACAGAATCACAGTTAGGCAGGCTTGTTGAAGGTGGGGTTTTAGTTCTCCTTTTAATCATAATTGAAATGTTAAGTCCATCTTAGTTGAACTGCGGGAGGATTTTCAAAGGAAACTAATCTGTAAAGCACAGAACAAGAATGCCTTATAATAAGAGAACAAATGGAAGATTTGGCTATATCTGTATGTGCTGCTCATGTGAGTTAGAACTAAGTAGTCAGTGATGAATAACAAAGATGAATCATTATTTCTGATTACCGAATACCCTGATCATATATCTGTCATTTCACTCTTCTATATGAGCACAGATACAGAATTCCTGCCAAAGATATTTTACAAAGGCATCATTAAAGAAATATTTGTCAAAATAATTAATATTGGTAAGTGTATCCTGGCTTCCAACCTCTTAAGGTCAGTGCTTTGGGGCTCATTTTGCAGTACACGTAGGACTTGTTTAACAATCAAATGGGGGCACTTTATTGTCTATACTTCTCTTCATGTATTTCCCCAAAGAATGGAACCACATTTCCCTCTCCTACCTTTTCAGCATCATCATATGCAATCTCTATATTCCCTCCCATCCAAAGCTGCTTTGGGGAAGCAATATGATGAATTAGGTATAAATGACTAATAAGGCTTAAATATTACCTTTCCCAGGATTATGGCTTTGTGCTAGAGAAATAAACGACTCAAAGGGATTAAACTCCAGCATTAAAATTTTAGGTGAGTTGGAGGAGGGGTTTTGATTATAAAAACTTTTCTAGCCTAAATGGTAATCGGCCAGATTGGACCCCAGTAGGCATTTAAGTAGGGGTGGAAAAGTCCCTAACCTAGGGACTGGTCTGGTCCTATTATTTAGGTTTGGGAAGGGGTGGTGGTGGTTAGGCTTAGCTGAATCTATGATGCTACATTTAAAGGGGTCTTGAACCAACCTGAGACTAAATACAACATTGAAATTCCAGATTCCAGCTGGTGACAGGCTGGTATGGGAGATACTACATCTTGGGACGCTTTAGTAGAGGGACCCTTTGAGTTCAGGGCTATGCTACTGAGTTTGGTCAGAGGCAAGCCTGTTTTTGAAAGGGGAGCAGGAAATCCTTCTTGTGAGATTAAAAATAGCATAAGCAATATAACAACTTTAGATTTTATACAACGGCTACGATTCATATTCGCATAAGATGGCTTAACTAGCTTGGTGTTACTATTACACCTGGCTGTCGTTTCATTTCTAAGCTGTAGTTAAATGCTCTCTTACCTCCGTCCTGCACTGAGTAAAACTGAACACTTTGGTACTATTTGGGAACCTTCAACTTCTGCTCTATCCTAAAGAACTACCTGTGTTAATTCCAGCAGTTCTGGAAGTAGTTAAAATGCTGTCACACTAACAGAATATCTTGAACACCTTTGGAGTTATTTCAAGAGTTTTCACTAGAGTACAACTCACTTCGGTAAACAATTCTTTGATGGACTTTATGAACTCCTTCCTTTGGATGCAAGTCAGTAATTATCTATAGGGCATACAGATCTTTATTCAAACTAGGTAATAAATAATTATGTCTGGAACACAGACGTAAGAACTGAAGCAATGACTTCGGGGACACAGAGACTAATGACCATCATTGTACAGGGTTAAGAACAGCAGAGACTGGGGGCGGGGAATGGTTTGTTCCGTATTACGTTCCTTCTCCGGTAAAACAAGGCCGTCTTGTCTGTTAACATATTTAAAGCAGTAACAGCAAAAACTGTGCAATGTTATGGTTGAAGCGTTTTATGCCATATGTGTTGATGGAATGCTTAAGAGTCTCTCTCCGCAATAAACGCAAACCCTGCCAGACTCAATTATTAGGGCCAGCGCAATTCAAGACTGCACCACCGAAACCGCTGGGGTTGGAAGCCTACGTCGCCTTCGGAGTGTGTCCAACGCGTCCGCTAACAAAGGCACTATCTTGAGGCAATTTCGCGGGCCATTTTCCCCCCTCCCAGCGCCAGCTTTGTCTCCTCGCCGGTGTGAGGCTGAGACTTGGAGGAGCCCCAAGCTGCTTTGCTGTGCGAGCAAGCTCCGAGCGAGGGCCGGCGTGGGAAGCTCTACCGAGCCGCCTCTGTGGTTTCCGGCAAACCAAGCGTGCCATTAGAGGAAGTTGGGAGTGCTGCAGTTGAAAGAGATACCTGCAGCCTTAAAATCGGGGCTGGACTTGAACCCTTCGCACCGATTACTGTCTTACAAAGAAACTCAATCGGCCGGGACGATCGGCCGGGACGTAGGAGGCTTGGGAGCTCTCAGCCTCCCCGGCGGGGCGCAGAGGAATCGGGGTCCGAGTCGTCGGCGTCCCCCACCTCCAGCGGCTGAGGGGCGGCAAGCAGGCCTCCCTGGGCCTGAGCGGGCCTAACGCCGCGCCTCGCACGCGAACCCCCGCCGCCGCCGGCCCCTCCCCCGCCCGGCCCCGGGTCCGCCGCAGCCGACGTCTGCCCGCGCCCCCCCCGCCCCCCCGCGCGCGGTGACTGGCTCGCGCCGGCCTCCAGCCCGGCTGTTGGCGGTTGGGGCGAAGCCGGCGGGAGGCCGCCCCGCCCCCGCCCCCACCGCGGAGCATTGGCGTGCAGTCTCTTCCCCCTCACCGCCGGGGCGGTGGCGCTGTTGCTGCCGCGGCCTGTGAGGCAGTAACTCCCCTCCGCCCCAGCTCCCTTCCTCCTCCTTTCTCTCCTCTCCCTCCCCTCCCCTCCCTACCCCACCCCTCCCCTCCCCTCGCAGTCTCTCGCTCGAGTGAATGTGGCGCGGCGGCGCGGGACGCAGCCTCGGCCCCTGCCGCGGCCCCGCGAGCTCGTGAGGAGACCCAGCCGCCGCCTGCCCCCACCCCCTGCGCTTCCCGGGGGAGCCACCAGCGCCTTGGAAGAAGAACGAGGAGGGGAGCGAAGGGACGGCGGCGGGAAAACGGGAGCGGGAGAAGAGGGTTCGAGGGCAAGTAGGAGAGGCAGGGAGGGACGGACGGAAGAACGGACGGCCAGACGGACTGCCCGGGGAGGGGGCCGCCTTCGAACTTGCCCGGCCCCTCGGCTCCGTCCCGGGGCGGCCGCGACGGCGGCGGCGCGGGCGAAGGGCGCGGCAGGCGCTATCGAGACAATAACCCCGCCGCCCGGCTCTGGGGGCGGCGGCGAGGAGGAGCTGGCGGCCTAGCGCGGCCGAGGCTCGCCCAGCGCCCCGGCGGCATCTTGGTCCCCGCCGGCCGGGTTCCGCCGCCGTCGGGTGTGCGGGGCGCGCCGGGCGCCCGGAGCTCGAGGCTCTCCGCGGACGCCCCCTGCCCTCCCCCTCCCCGGCGCGCGCGGAGCTGGTTTTCCGGGTTCCCGTGGACCGAGCTGGATCCTGCTTCTGCGCCAAGGCAGGAAGTGAGTTTCGCACGGTAATTCCGGGCGGTGTCACGAGTGAAAAGTTTTTTTTTCGGCGGAGATCCTAGTCGGGGTTGGGAAACTCCTGTATAACTTGAGACCAGGAAGCCAGCCCGCTTCCCAGCCCCCTCCAAAGCCACCTACTCGTCCTACTGCGGGAGGCCACTCCACATCCGCTCTCACCGGAGAGAGAAATTCGGCTGGGTCCAAAGTGACTAATGAAGGGAAGGAAATCATGTCAGGCGAAGCCTTGAAAAAGCTGCCTTGAGACACTGCCCGACCGAAAGGTAATTTTCACTAAGTGTGTCTAGAAGTTACAAAGCTCTTGGGCCAGGAAAGAGAGGGTCCTTTAGGGTTTCTCACTTTTTCCCCAGTTGCCCTAAATTAATCTTTTGTAGTGTCGAAGTGGATAGTATTTCAGTTGCTAAATGGTGGAACTGATTTTGACCCCCTTCTACCATCTGGACTCTGGTTACTTTAGAAGAGATTGTAAGAATGTGGTGAGACGAAAAGTTTTAAGCAATCGGAAGAAAGAGTGCCTTTGTTCAGCACTAGGTCCAGAAGTTTTAGTTTCCTAAAACATGTACAATGTATATTTTTTTATTAAGTCACTGAACCTGGCAACTTCTGTTTTGGAAAAAAGTTAGGTCGCTGCAGCGAGGGATTTACTGTTGTTGAGATGGCTGCCACATTTGTTTATACTGTTGCCGATTATTTGACTTTTTGCGTTGTGTATAGAGTTATTTTTAGTTGCAACCCTTAGAAACGTATTTGGTTGGATTTTAGAAACAAACACTGCCATTCTTAGTTTTTGTTTTTTAGGTGGGAGATGTATTTTTTTCAGTAACTGGCTCCTTTCAGACGTTGGGATACTTGTTTGGTTAATTAATCGAAAGGAAGTGTCTGCTTAATTTTTCAATCTTGGGATACTTGTTTGGTTAATTAATCGAAAGGAAGTGTCTGCTTAATTTTTCTTGTAAGAGGACCTAGGAAGGAGAAGGAGAGAGTATTATGGATAAACAGAGTTGTAATTAAAAAAACAAAAAGAAAAATACACCCGTAAGTACTCTAATCTGTTAGGACTTCTCTGTAGTTAAGAACAGAATATACAAAGGGAGGTGAACCGCTTTAAGCGATTTTTATGGAAGTCGTATTGATTATAATAAACATCAGTTCTTTTAGAATAGTACTTTCTTACATTTTTGTATTGGTCCAAATGTTTTGGCCGGTTCTGTCTAGTAAGTGATAGGTACCTACAGTGGTGGCAGGAATTAGTGAAGCATGAGAGACATTCCACCAGTCTTAGTTATAAACACTTTTGAACCAATCAGTAGTCCTTAAAGAAAAAACTAGTTCACAACAAACACAAAGGGCTTTTTTATTGGTGTTTTAGTGTGTCTTAATTTTTTTTTGTATTTTTGTGGTAAAGGAGGTGAAACATAATAACGTGCTTTGGAATAAATATTAAATAAGTATGGCATCCTGTTGGTAGGTGTATCTTAACTATAAATTAATATTTAGTTTGCTCATGCTACCCCATGAAAACTAGTTGACATTCTTTAGTTCAAAGAAAAGATAGCTTTTGAAGAGCAGGATCAATTATTTCACAGCTTGTTTGTTATTATGTTAAGTACATTTCAAAATGGGAGTCTTTTAAATATTACTATATCTTCTTTTGATTTTTTCCCCTCAGAGTGTAGTCTCTGGAGATCCTTTTTAAAAATTTGTTTATTTATTTGTGTTGGTAAGATTGTGAGCCATCAAGTCATTCCTGTTAAGTCAAAATAGTTTTATGAAGGAATTTAAAGTGTATAAGTGATCTGCTTTATGATTTGGGGACGTAATATTAAGCAACGAAAGAGGTTATTCTTGGGCATCGGAAAGAGCAGAACAAAATAAATGGCATTGAACTTCAGTTTCCTTATATGGCTTATTCTTGGCCTCAGAGCAACAGAGCCTTAATAGAGCAAGTCTTTTATAGAGAATTATCAGTCTGTGAAGATGTTTCTCTGCATTAGTAAATTTTACAAGTGAAAAGTATTGTAGCACTTGAAAATGCTTAAATCCGTTCTTAGATAGAGTTCTTGATTTTTTTACTTTTAGCATCTGTAGTAGCTTAGATACAGCACACTTTAAAAATGTGAAATGTTCACCTTTGTAGAACCTTTGATTTCTCTTGTACCATCAAGGCAAAAGTTACTTTGTGGTTTACTTAAAATTTTGTTACTTCAGTACTGAATTAGCGTAATGAATTTCAGCCTTATTATTATTGTCAAACCATACATATTTTCAAGCCTTGTTTAAAAGGTGACTGTGGGGTTTGAAAAGAGGTTAAAGAAAGATGGTAATCAGTTGAAATATTCAAGTGGCTTTACATTTTGGATATTCTTCTTAGTATTCTTCTATACTTAGTATTGTATGGGTTTTCTAAGATTAAATTGGTAAATCTAGAGTACTTCCAAAGCTTTTGTTTACACTGCACAAAATACATATTTAATGGCACTATTTATGAAAGGTACTTAGGAGTTTTCAATAGTGATAAACTTAATCCTTCAACTAATTAATTCAAATATTATATTATGAAGTCCGCCTGTTGTTTCAGATCAAGCTTTTGCAAACTTTTCATGTCTGAAAAGCTTATAGTGGTTCAAATATGGAAACCAAATTTTTATTGCATGCTGTTTGTTAATGAAGCAGTAACTAGTTAGAGACGTTTTACATATATCATTGGTAAATCTCTAAATTCACTTCTTTTAGAAGATAGAGATATTTAGAGATATTGATATTAAACTCCTGGTAGTAAACAATACCTTACTTTAAGAAACACTTAAAAATTTCAGAAAATTGGGTGCCTCTTTCAGCATTTATTTTAAATAATTGCTTATAGACAACATAATTTAGGCCTAAAGCTGTTTTGGCTAGGAATAGATTATGGCAGTGTTTATAAAGTATTTGGATTATGCACAATTTTAGTGATGCTGGATAGCAAAGTAATTCTCTTTTTTGTGAATGCTGCTTAGCTAGATTCTTTTTAAACACACTTTGTTGCTTGCATTTTTTTTTTTTGACTCTTTCCCTTGCCTATTTCCCTATTAGATGCCTTTTTTTTTTTTTGTGGGGAGTGGGGTTTGGTGGGGTGGGGAACACCTGTGTTGTAAATTCTAAAGAGGTCTTTATCTTTTCTTTTCTTGACAACATACATTGTACTTATGCTTTGCTGGTCAAAATTATTCAGTTTTTGCATGCAGGCTGTTTGCTCTTGCCGTAGAAATGAATATGTGAATTAAAATTAAATAAATACTTCTGAATTTTGTAAGGAAAGAGCTCAGCACGTCTAAGTTTTCTTTGATTGACTACACATTTTTTTGTTTTTTTCTTGGTTCCTCTCATCACTAACTCTTGAACCATACTATACCCATTTTTCAGATTTACCTTTAGCTTTCTCCTCTTAGGTTTCCTAATTGTAAAAAAGGAATCTAGCTATTATTAGGCTTTGTCTTCTAATTTCTTTACCTTCCTATAGTTTGCTTCATTTACTTTATTGTCTCCATGTTCAGCTGTTCTTTCTTGATTATATGTTGCCTTTCCCCTCTTTTCTAAACTTTGAGTCCATGCTCATCACCTAAAAAAACTATTCACAACATGAATAGAAAAAATTTATTTGCCCCATTTAATTGTAAATACGCCTTTTGCATTACCAGTTTACATGCCAGTATTGTAACCTGATACTCACTAATAGATTTTTTACTTACGTTTCCTGAACTCTTTTTTTTTTTTTAATATCCCCAGAATTACCTCTGTTAAGATAAGATCAGGTTGTTATGTACTTTTTTATTACGACTCTACAAACCCCTATACCTTTTTGTTTCATTATGCTTTTGGCTTTTTAAAACACACAAGCTTATATCTCTGTATTTTTCTTCTCCATTTTGTCCCTTTCCGTTCTGTCCTACCCCTCAAGTTAGATGTCTTTTCTGTCAGTGTCCCTAAAATTTTGAAATTGCCTTCCTTTGTTTTTATGAAATAAGCACAGTGGAATTCTGTCACTCACTATTCTTGTCACTGGAATTTTTGTTTCAGGTACCGTTGGATGAAGGCCTCACCAGTCTTTATAAATGGTAGTATATAAAATAGTAGAAAAGATTATCTAAAAATTAAGTTAATAAGACTGTTTATCTGGAGAATGTCTATGATTTTAGGTATATAGAATGTAGTAGAAAAAGTAGAAAATAATAAAAAAGACAAGTAATCAAAATGGGTGTAATAACATCTGGGGACGTCAGTTCTCTGGACGTCCTTATTCAGAGTCCATTTACTCTTGTACATAGTCGTTTCCTGGTTCGTTGCTTTACTAGAAGGGGTGAGAAACGTGCTATGGCAGCATCCTTAAGTTCCTCAGAGGGAATAGGAAAATGAAAAGAAGACTGAATAACTTAGGAAATAGTCTTGGACAGCTTGCTTTGGGACAGTGTGCCTTATATTTCATTTGTCCTTAGGAGAATTCACTCTGTTATAGCATAGTATAATTACTAGTAATAGTAGTAGACCTAAGGCAACGATTCCAAATTTTTTGGTCTTAGGATCCCTTTATACTCTTAAAATTACAAAGAACCCCACAGAGCTTTGTTTTATGTGGGTTATATTTATTTCCCTTATTAGAAATTCTTAAATATCAATTAATTTGTTTAAAAAACCATAAATGTGGGATGCCTGGGTGGCTCAGTCAGTTAAGTGTCTGCTTTCGGCTGAGATCTTGACTGGGATCAAGCCTGCTTCTCTTGCCCCTTCCCCTGCTTGTGTGTGCGCAGGCGCAACTCTCTCAAATAAATAAAATCTATAGAAGTAAATAAACCCATAAATCATGGTACGTTATCATGACACTGATGTAACAAAACAACAATTTTTCAAAACAAATCTTTAGCAAAAAGAGGGACACTGTTAATTTTGCAAGTTTCATGTGTCTGGTTAAATAGAAACAGCTTGATTCTCACATCTACTTTTATATTCAGTCTTAACAGTATGTTGTTTTGGTTTAAGTATATGAAGAAAATCTAGGATTATACAGATACATGGTTGGAAAAGGAAGGAGTATTTTCATTGCTTTTTTTAGATAATTGTGGATAAATTTTTTTTTAAATAAAGATTTTATTTATTTGTCAGCACAAGCAGGGGGAGCTGCAGGCAGAGGGAGAAGCAGGCTCCCCACTGAGCAGGGAGCCTGATGTGGGACTCAATCCCAGGACCCTGGGATCATGACCTGAGCCGAAGGCAGACACTTAGCTGACTG